AGAGAGAGAGAGAGAGAGAGAGAGAGAGAGAGAGAGAGAGAGAGAGAGAAAGAGAAAGAGAGAGAGAGAGAAGAAAACAAAACTTTATGACAATAGAAAAATATTTAAAAATTTTTAAGTGGTCTAAATGCCAGCACACTAAGGATTATTTAGGAGTTATTAATGGCATTTAATGATGTTTCTAAGGATGACAAATGTTTCTAAACATTATATAATGAGGCAAGTGCAAAAATCCAAAATTACATGACTAATGATCTAAATTTAGTTTTAAAGGTCAAATTTAAAGCTGGAAAGATAGTTCTGTGGTTAAGAATGCTGGCTGGTCTTCTAGAGGACCTGGATTCAATTCTCAGCACCAACAGGCAGCTCATGTTGATCTCAACTCCAGTTCTAAGGGATCTGATGCCCTCTTCTGGCTTCCAAAGGCACTGCGTGCATGTATTGCACAGAAATACATGCAGACAAAACACCCATACACATAAAAATAAAGATCTATTTTAAAAAAAAAAAAAAGAATTCTGGTTTTTGAATTATGAATATTTTTCTCCATATTAATTTTTCTCAAAATTTTCTCAAGAATAGAAGTTTTTACGGCCAAAAAGATAGCTCAACAGGTAAAGACACTTGCTTCCAAAACTCACAACTGAAGCCGGTATAATGGTGCACTCACTCCTTTAATCCCAGTACTACAGAGGTCAAGGCAGGCAGGTCACTCTGAGTTCATGGTCTGCCTGGTCTACATAGTGCGTTTCAGGACAGCCAGAGCTACATAGTGAGACCCTGTCACAACAACAACAATAACGATTCACAACCCGAGTTCAATCCCTGGCACACACATGATAGGAGAGGACAGATTCCCAAAGGTTATCCTCTGACATCCACACATCTGTGGTACATACACATAATAAATACACAAATGTAATAAAAACACAGAAGTTCTGAGAAAAAGACGTGGGTAAATTGACTTGAGAAAATGAAAGAAAGTAACCGTTTATAATTCTGAACATAATCACATGATTTGACAGTGATAATTCTGAACAAGACTGAAGCCACATTATAATACTCCCCAGATAAGCTGCAATGTGTGGGAGGATTAAGAGAAACAGTATATTTCATAAGAGTGTAAAGATCCCATCTAATCTCAAAGCATTTTCTAATTGGTATTGGCCACTTCTATGTTAGCTGCATATGTTTTTAATCATTCTCTGAATAATCTGCGAAATGAAGATAACTAATAAAATAATTAATCAGAAATTAGTATTTATAAATTCAGAAGCTAAATCCATGAAGGCTGTAAACTATTAGGGAGGAGCAGCTCCTGTGATCAAATGTAAAAATCCCACTCATGACTGCACAGAGCACTCCTGTACTTGAGCAACAAGCTTAAGGGCAGAATGTTCCAGCTACAGAAACAGACCAAGTGTCAGTCAGCATCATGCCCACTTCACAGCCGTAGCCCGGTTTGCCCTCTACAGTCTTCCTCAGAAATGAAAGGCTCCCTTGTTCTTCTTGCCAACTAATGAAGCACCCAAACATTGTAAGTGGAGCCACACAAACCTCAGTTGTGAGACAGCATCATATTCTCTAGAATGAATGTCCAGCTCCAGCACATGAGACTTGTACTAGTTAAATAACCAAACAGCACCAACACAGCGCAGAGGAGCGGGTCTATGTCAGGTGGGGAGACAGATGACCTAGAGAGCAGGGCTGGCTAGGTGTGACCAGAGCCTCAGCCAGCACCGCTCCCAGCCTGGGCACATGCTTCCGACTCCCTTTCTGGCTTTTGCTTCTCTCTGAAAACATGTCTTCAACTATCACTGTTGTCTATTAATTTCTGAGTATTTTAAGGCATGTGAGGGGCACCCATCTCATGGTGTAAATTTAAAAAAAAAAAAGCACTTTATAGGTCAGAATTTCAAATTCCTTTCAGAGTACTCTAATGGCCCAAACCTGGAAGTACAAAATTCTACTGGGCAAAGGTCATATTCTATATGTGTTATATGTTAGAGACTCAAACATCAGAGAAAAATTTTAAGATTATGTAATTATAACCAATGCCAATGTGACCATATGTTTAATTTTTCTCTACAATTAAATTCTGTACCATTCAATCTTAAATAAAAGTCATACAAAAATTATATTATGGACACCTGCTTCAGTTTATACTTAAGATATTAAGTATATAATTAAGATATAGTAATGTTTTTAGACCTTTACACATAACAGGACATTTAAATCAATAAGAAAAGGATCAATAACTCATTTCTACACAGAAAAAAATGAGTAAAAGAAATGTATGCATTTTGGAGAAATTATTTAACAACAGTTGTTAGAGATCTCCTATTAGGCACTGGAAATAAAATACTGAGCAAAGGTAAAATGGTTCCTAGTGGACACTATTTCTGGGTGGACAGGGTAATGAGAGCGTGTACGCTGATGTCCGCCAGTCACCCTCCACAAATCATATGAACAGACAATGGCTAAAAGTTGTGAAGATTTCGGGACTTAGATATTATAGAGAACAACACAAGTATCAAATCACGGACAGTCAGAGAACCTAAGTAACAACTTCTACAGGCCTGTTTCTGCAGCTGTCACTTTAACCCTGCCCAGAGGGACTGCGGGGCTGTGCAGTGGGCACCACCACTATGAAAGAGGAAGACCTCCATGAAAGCCCACACCGGAAATAGTGACTTGGTAGAACAGAAGAGATTGTACATTTGAGGGACTTGACTGCATGTGAAACCTGAAGAGGCAGTCTTGTCAAGGCAACACTGTTTCAGAAAAGAGCAAGAGGCAAGGAGCCTTTAGGGACAGCAAAGGGCAAAAGAAGACAAAAAACTTTAAGCTCTTGTTATATAAAGAAAAATTAAAACGCTGAAGCATACACAATCCGTCTACTATTGTCCCTCAAAAGAGGGGGTTTGAACTATGAATTTAATCACCTTAAACTGCCCTTCTGTCCACAAAAATGCAAAGGTATTTTTAAATGCATATGCTCATTTATAAAACAATCAATAGGAAATACTAAAAAGAATTCAGTAAAAAAACAAAAAATTCCCCCAACCAATTACAAAGCAGAATTTTAAAATTTTTTTAATTTAATTTTTTTTAAATGCTATCTCATGCTGAGTTAAGGTTTACATAAAAGTATGCAAAAAAGAGCTTGAATTAGGCCCCCATATTAAGGATACTGGGTTGGAGACGGCTCAGTGATTAAGAGCACTGGCTGCTCTTCCAGAGGACCTGGGTTTGGCTCCCAGCACCCACACAGCAGCGGACAACAGTCTGCAACTCCAGTTCCAGAGTATTCAATGCCCTTTTCAGAGAGAGTACTGCAAACATGCAATACACAGGCGGAACATACAGACAAAACACCCATAAATGTAAAATAAAAACAAGTGAAAAAAGACACAACAAAAAGTCCCAGAAAACTAAGCATGCTACACTGAAAAACAGGAGAGTCGATTACTTTGGTGAAAGAAACAGGAAAAGGAAAAAAAAGAGTAAACGCCATAAGAACTGAAGTATAAGGTCCTTATAAAAATAAAAAAAAAACAAAAGCAAATTATGTAAGAAAACCAGAAAAAGATTGAAATAGAAGACAATAAAATTCAATTACATATTAGATATGCTGCAGAAGAAACATAACATATAAGGACAAATATTTAAATTTTATATGTGGAGCACTTCATTAACTATTTTGGCACTGGGGATGTCTGGGGAAATCTAGTGAGGCTCTCTCTGCTGAGCTCAAACACTACAAGGACCGAGAGATAAAGTACTTGGATACACACTATTATTGCTGTTGATATTATTTGACACAGGGTCTCAATCTGTAGCACTAGATGGCCTGTAATTTGTGACATAGATCAGGCTGGACTTGAACTCACAGAAATATGCTGGACTCAGGATTAAGAGTGTATGTCATGCCCAGCTGGATAAGGAAATTAAAATGGCCCACTAATACTTGAGAAAACCATCACTTTGTGAAATATCTTGGTAAACATTGTTTTTTTTGAAAATAAAACATAGCACTCATAGCACTGGAGTAAACCAAGCCCAAAACTTATCAAGGCAAGAGAATCAGAATTAGAACAAGACTTCTCAAAAGTGACATATAGGGACTGGAACAGTTAAGAGCAGTTAAAAGCACAGGCTGCTCTCCCAAGGACATAGGTTTGACTCCAGCGCACACTCAGTGGCTCACAACCATTTCTAACTCCAGCCCCCTTTATGAACCCCATGGGCACCAGGTGTGTACATGTGGTGCACAGATATACACACAGGCAAACACCAACATATGTACATTAAGATGTAAAAAAATAAAATAAAAAATTTTAAAGTGACATAAAAAAGCCCTAATAGAGTCAGGACTGGTGAGTACTATGGTTTGAATTTGCTTCTCT